TTGCCTTGCTGACGCTGCAGTATTCGCTTTTGTCTGTGGAGCAACTTGGGAGTGCCCACAAAGTCCTTTTGCCGAGCTCACGGCCAAGACGAAAGCTCAGAATCTTCAGAGACACGCTCAGCGAATGAAGGAGCTGTATTTTCCAGACTGGGATGATATCATTTCAAAGAAACCTAAGTCTGCCTGAAGCTAGAAGTTTCCGTAATCTCACGACCTTCTTAGTTATGTTTTATGATACATTCCCGTGCCTTCTTCGCTTTGTTTTTCTGTTTTCAATACTGCACAGAAACAGGACTGAGAGTAATCTTGAATACCAACTTTGCTTTTATTTCACATTTCTAAGTTCCAATCCCATGATTACCTAAGAGTTTCGAAAGAGTCTTTGTGAACAGCAGTTTCAATCAACGCCGGTTTCTGGAGGTTTAAACCCGCTTGCAAGTTGTGACGATAGGTTTTTTTCGAACCTAGTGCACTTTTGCGGGGAACGCAACAATAACGGGGAAAAGAGCGCGGTAGAGACCATTAGGTAACGAGACGGAAACTCGTCACGATTTCCTGACCTGCTTCAAGTGAGCTTGCTACGAACGTCAAGGATCAGACAGCGTTTGGTTCCACAGTAATTTTATTTTAGTTCATACCGACAGTTGACATCACCTTTAGCAAACTCAATTATGTAATCGAAAAAGCTTACTTGCTTATGTATCAGCGAGTTACAATAGAGTGGAAAATGTATCTTTGTAGTTAAGCGATTTTATTAAAATATTCCATCTGTTCGGAAAGAATTTCAAAAGTAAGATAGCGGATAAAATAGACTCTACACCATTTAAAAAGAACAAACTTACGTCAAAATTCACAGCTCTGTAGTTAAAAACACCCATCCTACGGATGAGCAGCTTAGGAAATATAAGTGAGCAGTAATAATAATTTCTGCTTATTTATGCAATGTTGGTGTTAAATTCGGAAAATTAATCCTGCATGAAAGGAAAGCGAACTTACGTGCACAAACTCAGCTATCAACTTCCATAAGAACCAATTTTCAGAAAAATCATTAGCACTTATATTTATATTTCCGGAAAGAGCATTAACACTTATATGAAAGCATAGTGAAACCACCGCTATTAGTGAAAGAGGGCCGAATTCGGCGAAGTTGGCTGACTAAAATGGTAATTTCGCAGTACTTAGAGTATGCTTTGTTTAAATAATGAAACAGAATTTCCTTGCCGAAGGGTTGAACGAACTTTTTTGTCATACTTTGGGAAAATTGAACTGGAAGAAGTTGTAGACGCCATTGATAAATTGTGTGTGACTTTTTCCACCGCCATGAATTGTTCCTAACCTCTTTCCTACTCCTTCCAGACTAGCGGGGGGAGGGGAGGGAGGGGGTTATTACGACCCAGGGTGTTTGGCTTGTCAGGTAAATCTCAAACTCTTGAACAGGGTTTCTCTTTAACCCTTTGACCGCTAAGGGAGACTTGCATTTAACTTCTCCCTGCAACATCAAACCTGAATCAAACATTCAGGTTACAAGAATGCAATCTTGATTGTTTAACAAATTCTCCTTGTCAGTACCCCAGATAATGGTCACACTTAAGCATGATCACTTAGGTTGTAGACTTTTACTTTCAAAACCTGCAGCTGTAACTAACAGTCTATAATTTGGCACGTTATCGAACACGCGCAAATTTAAAAGAGAACTTGCAGCTCGCGCATGAAAAGAAAGAGGCATGAACCCAAACATGCACACAGTGAGTGCATTACAACAAGGCCGTGGCCAGACTTCAGAACAAGACGAGGCAAGTTTCAAGCGAATGGAATCTTTGCCATGCGAAGGGACGTTTCTACTTTTAAACATGGCGGAGAGCCACTCAAAGATAAGGGCGAGGAAAGAAACTGACGTGAGACAACTGTGCCAGGCTGTGCCAAGATGCGTGTGAGAATAAATGCAAATGAGCCTCTCACATGGAATTAAATAATGA